CTATCTATCTATCTATCTATCTATCTATCTATCTATCTATCTATCTACACTTTATTCACTTTGTATCCCCCCATAAGCCCTCCCTCCTCCCCTCCCAATCCCACCCTCCCTCCCCCTTCTTCACATGCATGTCATCCTTGCTCAGGGGCCATGCTAATCTTCTCTGTATCGTTCCAATTTTAGTATATGTGCTGCCGAAGCGAGCACTGGTTCATTCTTTATTAACAATCACTTAAGGCCTGACCTGGCCAAGCAGATAGCTGCTATGAGCAAAAGTGTGGTGGTTTCCGAGAGTGCTGGCAGAGGCATGCTTAGAAGCAGGTATCGAGATCATGATCTGTGGACCCATCCTCTTTATAGATAGCATCACACTCAATGAAATGCCTCCAAAGTGTCATGACAGAGATAGGGCTGTACTATGTACCCTAGGGACACCAGCTGATGAATCAGACAGGAATAACTTCATGAGCACAAAAATACAAAGGCCACAGTTACTGCAGCCATCCATACAAAACATTTGCAAGAACAAACTTCTCAACCCAGATGTTCATCAACGGAGGAATGGATACAGAAATTGTGGTACTTTTACACAATGGAATACTACTCAGCAATTAAAAACAAGGAAATCGTGAATTTTGCAGGCAAATGATGGGATCTAGAAAAAATCATCCTGAGTGAGGCATCCCAAAAGCAGAAAGACAAACATGGTATATACTTATATAGACCTATAAGATAGGATAAACATACTAAAATATGTACACCTAAAGAAGATAAACAAGAAAGAGGTTCAGGGGTAAGATGATCAATCCTCATCTAGAAGGACAAAGGGGATGGACATTGGAAATAGGAGAAAACAAGTAACAGGACAGTAGCCTACCACAGAAGGCACCTGAAAGACCCTACCTAGCAGTGTATCAAAGCAGATGCTGAGACCCATAACCAAGCCTTTGGCAGAGTGTAGGGAATCATATGAAGGAAGGAGGAATTAGTATATCCTAGAGGGGACAGGGAGCCCTACAAGGTCCAAATATATCTGAGCACAGGGGTCTTCTATGAGACTGTTTATCCAATCAAGGGCCATGCGTGGATATAACCTACAACCCCTGCTCAGACTTAGCCCATAGTAGCTCAGTATCCAAGTGGGTGCCCTAGTAAGGGGGGCAGGAATTGTTTCTGACATGAACTCATGAACTTCCCCTTCCCCCTGAGGGAGGATAAGCCTTGCTAGGTCACAGATAAAAACATTGCAACCATCCTGAAGATACCTGATAAGCTAGGGCCAGACGGAAGGAGAGGAGACTACCCCCTCTCAGTGGACTCGGAAGGGGGCAGTGAGGAGATGAGGGAGGGAAGGGAGGTTTGGGAGAGAAAGAAGGAGTGGCCTACAGCTGGGATACAAGTGAATGTATAAAAATATTTAAAAATAAAAAATATTAATATAAAAAACCAAAAAAATAAGAAAATACCCCCCCCTAAAAAGAACAAACTTCTCCTTCCATGCTCATATGTTTGTGTGTTTGTGCAGACGTGTGTATGTCTAGTTTTGTTATTTCAATCAAGAGTTAAATTCTTCCTATTTCTTCTACATGAGAAAAAGTAAGAACAACAATTAACTGTTGAGGAACAAATTAAAAGTTATTCTTACATTTCTAACATAAAGTATATTATGAATTAAAAAAATAAAGAATTTAGAGTACTTGGTAAATGTTTTTCACATAAATATTAAAATAAATACCACTTTTTTTCAATGCCACAGTGGAGCAATACCCAAGAAACAACAAAACTCAATACGTGAAAAATCCATGTGGAGCAGTGCAGGTGAGATTTTTGATATGGAGTTACTCAAGGTAGTCCTACCCTACATAGTGCAGGCAGAACACTGCATATGCAATAAATAAATAAAATAAATCCTTAAAAAAAGAGTTAAAAATAAAAATTTTAGTCCTAAAAAGAGTTAAGGTATAAATTACAATTATATTGTTTATTAATTTGTTTCCCAGCATTCTAGAAATTCAGAATTACTTAAATATGATAATAATACGATCTGAAAATGTTGGTTTATTAACTTTGGCCTCTGGTAATCTTTGTACAAAGGAGACAAAGATTTTT